TACAAGTTATAGTTTTTTTTTAATATTTAAAATAAATTATGCACATTTATTTTGTAAAAGATGACTTAAAATGACAAATGTATACTGTAAAATACTTTATTTTCACTAAAAGGATGGTTTATTGAAATTAAAATCCAGCGAATAGTATTTTTTTTTTTATTTTAAACTCGACTTATCAAATATCAGTGCTAATAAATTCCATACAAAACACCCAAAAAAATTCTTCAGTGAAAATTTATTCCAGCTAAAATAAAGTATTTCACAGTATCTAGTCACTGTCACTGTCATAATGTAGGTAATTGTCTTTTGATTCAGAGGTATTTTTTTTGTCTTACCACAGATTGACATCTTCTCCTATGCCATGTTACTTTACGAACTAATAACTGGTATGAGGCCATTCCAGAAGTTGGCACGTACAATAGACATCACCAAAGCAGTCAGAGAGGGCAAGCGACCAACTTTCAAAGAATATTGCATCAATGCTAATTTTCCTGCACTTGAGAAGCTGATGAAGGAGTGCTGGAATACCAATCCCATACTGAGACCTTCCGCTAAAACTATTTCCAGGAAGATGGTATCCGCAAATTTTCTTTGTCAACAGAGAATATTGGAGATGATGAAAGATGTCAAATATATGATGTACTCACCGCCACATATACAGGTACAATTGTATGGATGAACGTAGAATAATGACTTAAATTTGTGTAAAAATGAATTACTTTTTTATATTTATGTTCTCAGGAAAAATAATTCACAACAGGAATTAAAATCCAGAGCAGTATCGTCACTGATGTCAGACTCAATGGAAAGGCCAAAGGTCAAGCATATTGTTACTAACAGATGCAACTTTGGCTGAGCCATGGTTAATTTAATGTTCGTAGTTGTTTGTCCAAGACTGGCCTTGTTGATGGTTGGATTGTATATTAAATTGCCGTAATAATAGAAAGATGGCCACACTGCTTAATCATGTATCGCCAAACATGGAAGTGTTCCCATATTTGCACTAACATTTGATGGGTTTTAACTTTCACTTTAATACAAGTAATTTATATGAAAATTACTACAAAAGAAATAATCCCACTCAAATACTATGAATGAAATATTAACTGAAAGTGAATATTAAGTGAAAGTGCTAATTTAAAATTAAATTCTAAACTAAACCGAAATTAAAACTCAAATAATATTCTCTTATTAGTGAAATTTGAAATTGTAATGTGTTTACAATTTATAAAGCTACTAAACCTGCTAAAACAAAAGCAGGTGAAATTCCTACCACTTGGGGTCACTATTTGATATCCTCGAGACTCGGTTTTAAAACAACAGGTTTGCGTAATTTCAGGGTACGTCGTCGCATGCTGTTTGGTTTTGGTGCGGTGAGAACGAAGACAGACGGTGTACTATAGTAGATACTGAACATGGAATTGTCCGAATGGCAGAGAAATGTCATCCAGGGTCGATAGTTAACTGTGCAATAAAATTGGATAATGCCACCTGGGTTGGATGTCAGGTAGGTTATTGGTCAGTGTTAAATCAGTAGCACTATATTGTAGATATCAGATTAACCTTTTGAGCATTTTTCCAGCTTAAATTTGGGTAAATTTGTTCAAATTCTCCTAATTTGGACCAAACAAACAAAATGTGACATTGCCTCTAGTTTCTTTTAATTAAGAGCAGACTGTGAATGGTGCCTGAAGTTGATTTTAGTGCTCAAAAGATTGAGAATATTGGAAACTTCATACATACCGGTAACTCATTTATGAAATTTTCTAAAACAAATTTGATGTTTTCAAATTATTCTTTA